CATCATAACCCTCATCCCAAAACCAGGCAGGGACTCATCAAAGAAAGAGAACTATAGACCCATTTCTTTGATGAACACTGATGCAAAACTTCTCAACAAAATTTTGGCCAATCGACTTCAACAATTCATCCAAAAAATCATACACCACGATCAAACAGGATTCATTTCAGGGATGCAAAGCTGGTTCAATATACGCAAATCAATTAATATTATTCATCACATCAACAGGAGCAAGAATAAGAACCACATGGTTATCTCAATAGACGCAGAAAAAGCATTCGACAAGATCCAACACCCCTTTATGATGAAGGTTTTGGAAAAATTAGGAATCCATGGAACATTCCTCAATACAATAAAGGCTGTATATGACAAACCTACAGCCAGCATTATACTCAATGGTGAAAAACTAAAGCCATTTCCTCTTAACTCAGGAACAAGACAAGGATGCCCACTCTCTCCACTTCTCTTCAATCTAGTATTAGAATGCCTAGCTACAGCAATAAGACAAGATGCAGACATAAAGGGGATCCAAATAGGGAAAGAAGAAATAAAACTCTCCCTCTTTGCAGATGACATGATCTTGTATTTAAAGAATCCCATAGACTCCACTCCCAAATTACTCAAGCTGATTCAAAACTTTGGCAAAGTAGCAGGTTATAAAATTAACCCCCAAAAATCAATGGCTTTTCTGTATGCCAACAATGAGAAAAGTGTGGCTGAAATTAGGAAAGCAACTCCATTTGTAATAGCCCCACAAAAAATAAAATACCTAGGAATTAACTTAACTAAAGAAGTGAAGGACCTCTATGATGAAAACTTTAAAATCTTGAAAAAGGAAATCAACACAGAACTTAAAAAATGGCAAAACCTCCCATGCTCCTGGATTGGAAAGATTAACATCGTGAAAATGGCAATACTTCCCAAGGCTATCTACAAATTCAACGCAATACCTATCAAAATTCCACCCTCATTCTTCAAGGAAATAGAAGAGGCAATCCAAAAATTCATATGGAACAATAAAAGACCCCGAATAGCAAAAACGCTCCTCAACGGAAAGAACACGGCTGGAGGAATATCAATACCAAATTTCAAACTCTACTATAAAGCCATAGTATTTCAAACTCTTGAGCTCATCTGTAACTATATAGTTCCTTTCTCTTTGGTAACATGTTAACCTCCAGAAAGTTCTTTTAAATTTTGATAAATAGAGTTTTTTGTTGTTGTTGCTGTTTTTTGTTTTTGTTTTGTTGGACATGGGCCTGGGCACTGTCCCTCAGCTCTTCAGCTCAAGACTAGTGCTCTACCACTTGAGTCACAGCGCCACTTTCAGCTTTTCCTGCTTATGTGGTGTTGAGGAATCAAACCCAGGGCCTCATGTATGTATGCAAAGCAAGCATTCTACCACTGAGCCACCATCCCAGTCCTGACAGAGGGTTTTCTTTTTGTTTTTGTTTTTTTCTGGTGGGATGTTAGGGCGGGGGTGGGGTGGGGAGGAAGGGAGAAATAGATAGATGAATTTTTTTTTGGTGGGTCGTGGGGCTTGAACTCTGGGCCTGGGCACTGTCCCTCAGCTCTTCAGCTCAAGGCGAGCGCTCTACCGCTTTAGCTACAGCATCACTTCTGTTTTTCTAGTGGTTTATTAGAGATAAGAATCTCATGGACTTTCCTGCCCAGGCTGGTTTTGAACTGTGATCCTCAGATCTCAGCCTCCTAGAGCTAGGATTACAGGCTTGAGCCACTAGTGCCCGGCTTAGATGAATTACTTTTGTTTTTAAAAAGGTATGAAGCTTTAGAGGAGAAAAGGAAATTGTTTCCCTTGGTTGGAATTGAATCAGCTCTTTTTATTTTCCTGTGTCCTCTCTTTTTATATTGGGCTTTCTGAATTAATTCTTAAATGTGTTTCATTACTTGAAATTTATGTAAAGGAATAAATTCAATAATCTAGAAATTCTTCCATTTCTTCCAGATTCTCAAATTTGTTAGCATAAAGGTTTGAGAAGTATATTCCCCTATAATGTTCTGATTCTTGCTTGTTTCTGTGGTGGTTTATTTTTAATGCATTAATTCCATGACTTATTTGATACGTTTTGAAACATAAAATCAGAAGCTACTTCTACAGTTAGACGCATTAGTATATTGACATTACTTAGAATGATATGCCTAGAAAAGTGCACAAAGAATGTGAATTTTGCTCGAGGCACCGTGGCTCACACCTGTAATCCTAGCTACTCTGGAGGTTGAGATCTGAGGATCGCAGTTTGAAGCCAGCCCAGGCAGAAAAGTCCCAATTAACTACTCAAAAATATGGGAGAGCTATGGCTCAAACTGGTAGAATGCTGCCTTTGAACAAAAGACCTTAGAGACAGTACTCAGCTCCTGAGTTTAAGCCCCTTGACTAACAACAACAACAAAAAATAATGTTCATTTTACTTCTTAAAGTAATTGTACTAAAATGTGGTCCAAGTTATTTAGAACTTATTTTATTAAGAAGAATTATTTCACCCAAATATAAATATATTACTAAATATGTATATGCATGTATATTTACCTCAACTTTAAAGACAAAATAGAAGTAACTGGAGTTTTTAATAAAAATTAGTAGTTTCATAAGTTATGTACATGATAGAATTCAGAGTTTTTTAAGGACAAACTAGAGTAGTGGTCAGTGATTTACAAAGACCTCTGAGACATTATCAAAAATAGTTTTTTAATTTTTTTAATTGTGAAAATACAGAGGAGTTACAATTACATGGGCAAGATAATGAGTACATTTCTTATCAAGCATTATTGCCTCCTCTGTTTCCCCTTCCTATCACTTCCCATCTCCCCCCCACACCCCTCTTCTCCCCCTTCTATCCCCCACCGCCAAAGTTGTAAAGTTCATTTTTCAACATAACGACTTGTACATCTCATTGTTGCAATAGTTCTACCTATATCCCTATTTAAATGATTTGTTTTTTCCCTTCCCCTCCACGAATTATACCAACTTCAAATACAGTGAAAGCAGGGGTTATAGTTATTAATATATTTTGTAAAAAACCCAACAGAACAAATTTGTATGTTTAAATATGTGAGTTTACTAAAAAATTATGGAAAAGAGTATATATACTGAATAATGCTATGATAAACATAGTTGTGGTGGTAACTTTAGTATGGCCTTGTTAGTGGTCGTTTGGGTAAATGCCCAGAAGTGGGATTGCTGGATCATAGGGGAGCTCTGTGTGGAGTCTTCTGAGGAAACTCGATAGTGCTTTCCAGAGTGGTTGGAACAAGTTTACACTCCCACCAACAATGCAGTAGGGTTCCCTTTTGGCCACATCCCCTCTAGCATCTGTTGTTACTAGATTTCTTAATTATAGCCATTCTAACTGGGATGAGGTGGAATCTCAATGTTGTTTTGATTTGCATTTCTTTTATGGCTAGAGAGGTTGAGCATTTCTTCATGTGTCTATTGGCCATTCTTATTTCCTCTTCAGAGAAGTTTCTCTTTAAGTCTCTAGCCTACTTAATAATTGGGCAGTTGCTTCTTTGAGGATTTGATGTTGGGGGATTTCATTGTTTGAGTTCTAAGTATATTTTAGATATGAGGCTCTTATAGATTGTATGGCTAGTGAAGATCTTCTACCAGTTGGTGGGCTTTCTATTGATCTTGCTAGCTATGTCCTTTGCCATGCAGAAGCTCTGTAGTTTCATGCAATACCATTTGTCCAATCTTTCTTTGAATTGTTGTGTTTCTGGGTCTTTATTCAGAAAATTTCGGCCTGTGCCAAGGAGCCCTGTAATATTTTCAGTGTGTCTACTTTTACTTCAAGGTCTTTTGATCCATTTTTGGTTGGTTCTGGTGCAGAGTGATATTAAGGATCTAGCTTTAGTTTTCTACAGGTGTTTAACCAATTTTTCCAGCACTTTTTAGTGAAGAGGTTGTCTTTCTTTGTGGTATGTATATGCAACGGAATTCTATATATGGAACCAACCCAGATGCCCCTCAGTAGTTGAATAAGTATACAATGGAATTCTATGTCTCCATCAAAAAGAATGACACTGCCCCATTTGTTAGGAAATGGAAAGACTTAGAAAAACTTATATTAAGTGAAGTAAGCCAGGCCCAAAGAAACATAGGTCTCATGGTTTCCCTTATTTGCAATAACTAGTATACGTGTAGGATAATCTTACGAGACAAGCAGAAGAGGTCAAAAGCTATATACGTATGACCATATAAGATGATGCTAAGTGAAATGAACCCCAAGATATGGACACATGATGTTTTTTCCTTTGTTGCTGTTGTTTTTAATGCACTATGTGAAGTTTTAGTTTCTCTTGCATGTTCTTCCCCCATGGTACAACCCCTGTTTTCACTGTATTTGATTCCGGTGCCCTTCATCTTGTATATACATTTTTCTAATTTGGGGAGGGGAAGGGAAAAAACAAAATGCTGAAACAACTATACAGGTTGACCCATTGTAACAATGAGACCTACAAAACACTATATTCAAAATGAACTTTACAATTTCTGGTGGGGGGAAGGAGGAGTAAGGGTGGTGAGGCAGTAAGGGATGGTAGGGGAAAAACCAAGGATGAGGTAACAATGCTAGATAGGGGATGTACTCATTACCTTACTCATGTAATTGTAACCCCTCTGTACAGTATCTTTGCAATAAAAATATTTTTTTTTTAAAAAAGTATATATAGCAAGTCACAGATATTGACAACCCACTGCAGAGGAGAATCCTGTTCATAGAGACAGACTATTTCACACTATATCTTTTTACATAGTTGAAGTTTTATGTAATTAATTTCACTATTTTAAAAATCCCTTAAAGAACTTGATAAATTAGTATTCTAACAAAAATATCACACCTAAGGTTTTGCTGAAATAGGAATTTGAATGTTCATGATATACACCTATATGTGATGAAGAAAATTTTGCATCATAAAGAATGTTAGTGCTTCCTCATTCACTTTGATTTACCTCTAATGTCTTTTCCCCTTTTTAATTCCAGGTCTCATTCGTTTACAAGAGCTTATCAAAGCTCCATCAAGGTATAATCTTCGACTTAAAATCCGTCAATTGCCTGCTGATACAAAAGATGCAAAGCCCTTATTGAAAGAAATGAAAAGAGGCAAAGAGTTCCATGTAATTTTCGACTGTAGCCATGAAATGGCAGCAGGCATTCTGAAACAGGTAAACTTTAAATTGCTAAAATGCTTGGTTCCTTTGTAAGTTTACACTTAAACTATGATCTTTTTCAAAGAAACAACAAGTAATATAAGGCTAATGTTGTATAATTAAAGTTAGAGACATCACCTGGATATAATTTTATAACAGAAAGTCTGAGAAGTGCTTTTAGTTATTTGTCTTAAAGGAAAAAAGACGTTAAATTTTTAAGGTCATTTTCAAATGTCAGCAATACTGCTTATTATTGAGATTGTTGATGAATGAAGTAGATATTTCTGTCTTACATTAAAATAAGGGAAGATAATTTGGGTACATGACTGAATAGTTTCTTCATCCATGTCAGCCAACCTTTAGAGGAAAGATTAAGTGCATTTATTCTGTACTTAGAATCTAATATGCTATGCCCTCATATTTTTACCATTATATTATGGTTATATTATTATTTCATCATTATTATGGATAAAAAATATCTTCACTTTACAAAGAAACCCAGTCTCCTCTTGAATGATGGAGTGATTTTACAGGAACAAAGAGTCAAAGGATATATATTCCATTTAAGAGATTTGTTTACAGTAAAGCGTTGGTTACCTAAAAAGATGTTACTAAATCAACAAAAATGAGACAATTTTTTAGCAGTAAAACAAAGTTGTACTCCTCATACCCAACAGCAATCTGGAAAATAGGATTAAATGGGTAGTGGAAAATCATATCCTAATGAATTAGTTAGTAGAGCCTGGGTTTTAATTTAAATTCTTTAAATTTTGCCTTTAAAGCTTTTAAAATATGCTTTGGTTTTACATTAATAGTGACTTGGGATTAGCCAATTATTTTCCTACCTCTGATGTGTAAGATCACTTCTCTGCATTGGAAATTTATACAAGTTTAAATTTCAAAATATCATTTACTAAATGTAAGTATCAGCAGCCAAACCTATAGTAACATGGTCAGCTTATTAAATAGATATCTGTCCAATATTCCAACACAAATGTTGGTTTTACCACAGTAAAATATTTCAAAGAATTTGTAAAATAGTGTACTAATTTTATAGTTGAATAAAAGAGTGTATAAAAGAGATTGCTATTTGACCTGTTTTAGTAATAAAGTTTTGTAATAAAGTAACTACAGAACTCTAGAGTGAGATTTTTTTTCATATAATTTCCAATAATTTCTGATCTCATTTAGAAACAGATTTAGAAAGGAAACCTTTGTTTTACACCAAAAGCAGTATACTATTTCAGTGAATTTGCTATGCTCAGTTTTCTCTGAGTCTCTAACAAATATATAATCTATTGTCTTTTCTCTAAAGAACTAATTCTGATACATTTTTGCTGTATGAGAGGTTAAGAATATGCATCAACTTTGATAAGAGAATTTGCTTTCTGCCTTCTATTGATTTATCCATTATTGAATATTTGGTTGTTTTGTATAAAGTGCTCTATTTGCCAAATACAGAACTGAAATGATAAATATATTCAACAGAAAAAAACCCTGCAATTCAAAAAAAAGATCAGTAAATAAAATATTAGAGCAAGGTTAAGGAGAAAAATATGAAAGTTAAAATGTAGTGAGTAGTGATAATACTGTATTAATGCTTTCTCTAATGCCCTGTAACACTAGTAGACATATATATATACATACACGTGAACATGTATATATGTAATATATACATTATAACATATGTATTCTATGTGTATTATTTATGTATATAAGACATAATACATATATAAATGCATATATGTTTACTAGCATTATGTATACAGATATAATATATATGAATATATAATATATGTATTGATATTTTATATTTCTATATGGATACAATGTGTGTGGCTGTTTTTTTTCTTTTTTTAAAATGTATCTGGTCTTAGAATTTGTGTTACATTTGAGTGTCAGTTGTTAGGGAAAGCCAGTTAAAAAGAAAGCAAATAGTTTCCTTCTAATAAACACAGCTGTAAATTCAGTAAGGAGCTATGCTAGAACTGGATGAGTGTGGAGGAGTGGAGCAGCAGAAACAGATGAGCTTTCAGCTGGTCTGGCTTCATTTACCAGTGAATACTAGGAGAATCCAGAAAAAGGAACGGCTTTAGTCAAGTTAACCCTGTTGGTTTGTTTGCTTAATTTATTTAGGATATTTATTTAAACTTATCGAGCTTTTACTAAACATTGGACAGTTAAATTTGAAGAATGTGTTGTTTGCCTGAAAGCTTTAAAAGTGAGTGGAGGTTGGGAATGTGTATAATCCTCTGAGACAAACAGTATGCTACTTGTTGGGCATGCCTCAGTAGCAGAGGATTCCACCTCTATCCAGATTTGTCATGGAAAATTCCCTAGGGCAGAGCCAAGATAGTCAGAAGGAAAACCTCACACGGATATTCTGTCACACAGGGAGAATAGTTATCAAGAGTTTCAAGGTTTAGATCAAAGAGTGTAAATAAACTCCTTCTCTGGAAGTAAAATAAAATCAAATGTAAGATTTCGGTGTAGAGTCCTACTGTTCCCTATTGCTAACCTTGAACCCCTCTTCAATGATCTCAACTCCCTTCACCTTGCCACCAAGCGTCATTTATGCACTGGCCTAGAATGCTAAGGTTTCTGAATTATAAAGGAATATATATATATATATATATATATATATATATATATATGCATATATATTTCTTTTCTTTTCCTTTTATTTTTTGTGAGTTATGGTGATTGAACCAAATGCCTGTGTAGTATCTCAGAGCTCTTCTGCTCAAGGCTAATTAGTGCTCTACTACTTGGAGCCACAAATTCTATGTTTATCTACTGTCTCATTTTTTCAGCAATTTATTCATCCAACTTATGCACTAGTTTTCTCATGTATAAAATGAATATAATAGAACTTAAATCATAAGGTTATTATGAGGCTTAAAACACTGTAGGCTCACTTGCACCTAACATTGTACTCAGCATATCTTGTTATCACAAGTGATATTTATAGCTGTATATGTGTGTGTTTGTGTGTGTGTTTATAGCTATATGTCTATATGGGTATAACTCTACAGAACTATCTATTGCTTTACCTACTGAGCTCAATTCTTCCATACTGAGCTCAGTATTATTGAAAAGACTCATATAATTATATGTTCATATATATATATTACATACATATTTATACATACCTATACACGTACAGTTTTTCTATATATATACATTTTCTCATATATACATGCATATATATGAGAAATTAAAGCATGGAAGAAAAATTAAGAATGTAATTTCTCATTAGTAAGAGAACTTTAACATTTTACTTAGGATAACTGTCAACATATTAAAAGTTTATGTATTCATTATTATTCAAGAATTATTATTTGGTGATTTTTGCTTAAATTACCCTACTTTGCCCTAATGATGCTGGTTTTTATTAAGCAGGATTTTTTCTTTCATGTATTTGGTATGCCACAAAGTTTTACACAAGTTTCTATCCTTTCATGGTCAAATGGCTCACATTATATAATTACAAATTTTACTCTGTTTAACTGATTAATGCTGACCAATGATCCGACTGCTTTTCTGTTTATTTACCATGCAGACTATAGCTAATGGAGCCTTAGAAAATGGGTTAGTAGTAGTTAGTAGTCTGTTAGTAGACTGTGAAGTCTATTAGATGCACTTGAAAATACTTATTTGTTGTTAAGAGTTTTTATTTTTTTTAAAGCTTTTTTTTTTTTTTTTTGGGTCCGGTCGTGGGGCCTGAACTCTGGGCTTGGGCACTGTCCCTCAGCTCTTCAGCTCAAGGCTAGCGCTCTACCACTTGAGTCACAGCGCCACTTCCGGCTTTTTTCTTTTTGCTTATGTGGTGCTGAGGAATCAAACCCAGGGCCTCGAGCATGCAAGGCAAGTGATCTACCACTGAGCCACCTTCCCAGCCCAAGAGCTTTTCATTAAGTTAAAGAAATGACAATTTTCAGTGATTGCTAATTGATCAGGAGTTATTTCAAGTACATTCTCTATTTTCACTAAGGAATATGAGAAGGAAACTTATCACTTGAATTTTGAATATCAATAAAATTATTTTAAAATTGATAATCTAAATTTACTAAGGAGTATAAAAATGTAATAAATTATCTATTTTTAACTGGTATATTTAATTTAACAAATATTTCTTTATTCTGTACTTTCTTCATAGTTGTGATATGTATTTCTCTCATTAACATTATGTTAAACTGTCATAATAAAAATAATGTTCCTCACTATAGTTATTTGTAGTGAAGACATTAAAAATATAAGGAACAAAGATAGGCTAATTTCAGAATCTTTTTGTTCTAACATATTGCTTCTGTAAAGTGTAAAGCTATCAACTACAAATGTTAAAAAATAACTTTTCTATCAAGAAAATTAGTTCAGAAATTCTTCCATTAGCAGGTAATTTTTTTAACTGTTGAGAAAAGATTTATCTTGGCAAACTTTTGAACTACCATTAATAACATGGCTAAAGTCTTCATTACATCTCACATCTCTTTTGACAGATATAATGTGTGGCATGCTATGTGTATTTTCAATAGTAACATTTTGTATTTTTTTATATCTTAGGCACTAGCTATGGGAATGATGACAGAATATTATCATTATATCTTTACCACTCTGGTAAGTAATTTCTTAAAAAATAAAGACAATGTTCTAAGTTTGATTGCTTTAATTGTAAAACAAATTGAATGAAAAAGGTAATATGAAAAATGACAGAGTATACTTTACTGCTACTATCATTGCAACAATCACTACTATGGTAATTGGCATTACTGAGTCTTGAACTCAGGGCCTAGTCCTTGTTAGGTTATTTCTTTCCAGCTTAAGCCAAGCTCCAGCTGTTTTTGCTTTACAGTTTGTTTTAGCTAAGATCCTTGCACATCTTCAGACTGCAGTCTTTCTATATTGTGCCTGAGTTTACAAGTGATCAAAACCACACGCAGATCATATTTCATTATGTTGGAAATGAACTATACAACTTGAGGAGGGAGAGGAGATGGGAAGGGAAAAACTGGGAGAGAATGAGGGAGTGGGTGACACTGTTCAAAAAGAAATATACTCATTATCTGACTTATGTAACTGTAACTCCTTTGTATCACCTTTACAAACAAATATTAAAAAATTGAAAAATGGGAATTATGAGACAACTACTATTCATGGTAGGAAGTTGATGATTTTGAAACAATATCATCTAAGACATCAATTCAAACTATTTTCTCATTTATTTTTATATTGCTTCAGAGGACTTTTAGAACATAATGGATTTTATAATTACTTTGCTGAAAAAAATCAATGCCTTAGACAAGCACAGATTCTTATACCATTATATCAACTTTATTCATTTTATGAAAATCAGATTTTTCTAAAGTTGCCCTTTGAGAAGATTAAATTTTCTATATTCAGTTAGGTTTTCTAAAAGTCACTATGCTTTAATTTGCAATTAGAAAATTGAATTTTACATTTATATTTTGTCTTTACATACTCATCTCATAGTTTCATTTTATTCATGAACATATGACTTTGTTTTTTTCAAATCAATCCTAACTCTTAGTTTTATTTCTTTTTTTCTTTTATTTTCCTTTTTTATTTGAGACAAGGTATTTATTGCAGGCTAGCTCTGAACTCACAATCATCTTGCTTCTTCCTTCATAGTGCTGAGATTATAGGCACATACTACCATATATGGCATAAGTTTTATTTCTCTAGCCACAAATCATGTCTTCCCTTTCCTGTGGAAAGGATTTCTTTCTTGCTCACTAATCCTTTACTAATGATTTTGAAATTATGATGATATTTTCAAGTTTAGACATCCATCTGATTTTTCTTTTCCTCTTCATTTATTTTATTTTAGAGTTTGGTAGCATATGTTTAAACTTCTAGAAATGACCATTGCTCAAATGAAGTCCAAATAGTCATATGTGATCATTCTAATTATGGCACATAATAGAATAATTCTAAATATATGTCAGTAAGATAATTGGAAATAGTGGCATATTATAGAATAATTCTAAATGTGTGTCAGTAAGATAATTGGAAATAGTATTTGCTGATGACTTATGCCTATAATCACAGTTAGTTGGGAGGCTGAAATCAGAAGGATCAGAATTCAAGGCCAGTCCAAGTAGAAAAGTTCACAAAACCATTTCATCTAATAGCTGGATATAAAGGCACCTGTCATTCTAGCCACTTGGGAGGCTGAGATCAAGAGGACCGTGGCTAAAGTCAGTTCAATTACAAAAGTCATCAGGGCTGCATCTCAACAGAAAGATGTAGGCATGATCTTACGAATGTGTTATCCCAGATCTGATTAGGTGGATAGCAAGACCCTAACTCAAAAACAGCTATCACAGAAAGAATGGCAATATGTTTCATTGGTAAAACATCTGCCTAGCTAGCCCAGGAATGTAAAAAAAAAAAGGATAATTTTTAAATACTTAAATTTTAATCATTGTTCTCCAGATTGACTCAACTTTTTTCCATAAAAACTTTCATTATCACTGTTACACCATTCACAAAATTCTACTGTGGATTTTCTTCCACTTGCTGCTAGCATCTGTCTTCCTCTTCCCCCACTGACCAGCCTAATCGTTGTTCTCTTCTAACACAAAAGTTTTTCAGTTGGTTTTCTTGCTTCTGGAATACTTGGAGATGCCAGAACAACTTATTAAAATGTGGTTATCTCCATAGCTTCCTGTGAGGACAATTCTCCAACAGACATTCTTCATGTCCTAGGTTGTACTTCATTTTTAGAAAGCGAGACTGGCTCTGCTATACGAGGTGATTTTTTTTTTAAGCTTATATGAAATTTAGTGTTAGGCAGGTGATGGAGAGGGCTTTCCCTCCTCAGTAAGTTATATTAAGTGCCATTTGAACTTTATTAGAATCATAAGATTTCAGAAAAACTGAAATTATCCTTTAAGAAAATAATGAAACAACTCATTTAGGACACATGTAACGCATTAGCCTTTAAATAAGGCCTTTAGTACTTGGATCCTAATCTGTCCTATTTTAGTTTTCTCTGATTCTGTTATGAATTCTCATTTACCATCAAATGGATCTAGATTATTCTTATGCTTAGCAACTATGTTTTCACATTTTTGTGTCTTTACTTAGCATTTGTTTTCTGGAGTTTAAACTTAGGGCTTGTCACTTGCTAGGCATGCACTCTACTATTTGAGGTAGCCATTTTTGCTTTGGTTATTAGTTTAAATTTATTGTTATTATTAAGGTGTTGTATGGAAGTGTTACTCTTATAAATCAGGTAAGAGTACATTTGATTTTGGACTATGCCACCTTTCCTTTCCTTTGCTCTGGTTATTTTTAAAGATAGAGTCTTGCTGTTTGCCCAGACTGGCCTGGAAAAAGATCTACTTATTTACACTTTCTGTTATAACCAGGATGACAGGTGTGTTCCACCATACCTAATACTTTCTGTTGAGATGGATTTTTCCAAACATTTTTTCTCAGGTTGGCCTAGAATTATGGTCTTCCAGTTTCAGCCTCCCCATCAGATAGGAACTGCAAGATCTTGGCTTCTATTCATATTTTACCAGTTTTCAGTAATTTACCTATCGTGAAGTTCATGCCTGTGTCACTATAGTAAAAGACGGATTAGCAAGAAAAACATATAGCAATTTACCTCTTGTAAATTGTAGGTAGATGACCTGGAAGCCTTGCAGAAAGAGACAGGGAAATTAATTTATCTATGCATTTCCTTGATGAAGAATTGACAGTAGTACAGAAATATATAAAGGAGAATATAAAAAGCTGGGAGAATTTAGCAATTCTTTCGTTCAGATTCTTTTTGGTTTTTAAGTATTACGCTGGATACATATAAAATAAGGGACTTATGACCTGCTTTTAAGGGTAGGAAAATTTTTTTGTAGGTGAAAGAAAATCTGCATTCTACATTTTCCCAGTTTTCTTCAGTTTAACACATTCAGATGGGAGGCACTAGTTGCTCATGCCTGTAATCCTAGCCACTCACAAGGCTGGGCCTTGAGCCTTGCAGGCCAAAGCCAGCTCAGGCTGGAAAGTCTGTGAGAATCCTATCATTTGTTCAAAAATAATTATTTAAATTTTATTTTATTGTAAAGATGCTGTAGAGAGGGGTTACGATTCCAAGAGTAAGGCAATGAGTATATTTCTTGTCAATCATTGTTACCCCTTCCCTTGCTGTTCTCCCCCTATCCCTTCTCCTCCCAACCTCCCTCATTTCCCCCCTCCCCCACACACACCTCTTGGGGGTGTCATTATTACAGTGGGTCATCCTGTGTCCTTGTTTCAACGTTTTGTTATTCCCCTTCCTCTCCTCAAATTAGACAAATGTATATACAAGATGCAGGGCACCAAAATCAAGTACAGTGACAACAGAGGATATGCCATAGAGGAGGGAACATACAAAGGAAACTAAAACATCACATAGTGCATTAAAAACAACAACAACAAAGAAAAACCACTTCTGTCCATAACTTGCAGTTCATTTCACTATCTTCAATTAACCACCAAAAATCCAGAAGTGAAGCTGTGACTTAAGTGGTAGAGCGCTAGCCTCGAGGATAAAAACAAACAGCATCCATCCTTGAGTTCAGGTTCCAGGATTGTTCTCCTTAAAAAAAAAAATGCCCAGTCACTCAAATCACCAACAAAAAAGTTTTGAGCCACATCTCAAATGAAATTCTGTTTTCCTTAAACATAAAATTCAGTTGTCAGTTGCTTGTTTTGCTTATAACTTCTATTTTGCTTGTCATTTTCACTATTTTAACCCATAACAAATAATATCATGCATTATTTATTTATGCCTAGAAAATACCTTATCTCCTGGGTGTTATCATGAATATTAAATTTTAAAAAGCCTAAAGGTGCTCAATAGCACTGAGTCTGACTCAGACCAATGTCAGTTGCTCTCCATGGAGTTTTATTCCGGCTGTCTAGAGTCTAGACAAGCTGTGCACAGGGCACTGACCCTTGTCTTGCTCTGGTTCTCAATATTGTCTGTGAGCTATGAGGGTGAGCTAATGTCATGTAGAAAGGATAGAAGTCCCATAGGCTGTAGGTCCTGATAATGACATCCAGCTCTCTCCATGGCTTTGACCTCTCATCTCCTTGGAAAATAAAGGGCAGACTATTCATTGCAAAGCACTGAAGAAGGGGAAGAGAAATAAAGTAATCACTAGGGTGGAGTTGCTAGGTTGCAAAGGAGGTCTGGGATCTACAACCAACAGGGCTAGCTTTCTTTTTTAACTTTTTCCTCTTATCTTGCATATAGTTATTATTAGTTAAAAGCCATATTTCATGGTCTGTGTTTTAAATGTAAAGAAATAAAAACCTCAGACCAAACAAAATGAAAAACATTTGACAATATAGGCTTAAGTAAGCAAGTCTGTTAGTTTATAGTAAAGTGGTGCTGTCCAAAATAGAAAAGCAATCTATCCTTACCATGGAAAAGGAAGCTCACACAAATCTTAAGTGTTAGTGTGGTATCTTCATACATGTCTATCTATGGGACATACATATCTGCATTATAGAAGAATGAAAACATTTGAACCTTGTGTTTGTGTGATGTTTAACATTGCTCAAGATACAATAATAATTATTACTATCAGGGAAGTAAGAACAAGTGACTTTCAAAATTTGTATATGAATCAAGTCTCTCTGTAATAACATAAAGAAATTATTTTTCAGGACCTATTCGCTCTTGATGTAGAACCCTACAGATACAGTGGTGTTAATATGACAGGGTTCAGAATATTAAATATAGAAAATATTCAAGTCTCCTCCATCATCGAAAAGTGGTCAATGGAACGTTTGCAGGCACCTCCGAAACCCGATTCAGGTTTGCTGGATGGATTTATGACGGTATGAATAACCATTTAAAGATCAGTTTGTGTGTTTCTAAGAAATACTGCATAAATTATTAAATTCTCTGGGTTCAAATTTTATTTACTAGTTTAACAATAAAGGTATAATATTAAAGATACTATTGCAAATAAATTTATGAACACTTTTCCAAACCAATATTACCTACCTGTTTTATATTTTTATCCATGGAATTCCAAAGATATTGCAGCCATCATTAGGCTATACCCATATGGGAATATCGCTAAAATTATCTAGAGCCATATACAGACCTCTGAGGGACTGAAAATGTCATTAGTTTGGTCATCCTTCCCAACATGTTTTCTCTTTGTCAGGATGGCTTTTGGGTGTTATATGAATGACTTAATACCACACAAAATCTCCCCTGAGTTCAGTCATTCTTTAAGGTTCTATATTAACCAATATTCACATTTTTCATGATCAATTCTTACTATAAGCCTAGAAAATGTACTAATGTTTAAAATATGGAAGAATCCAATGTATTTTATACCTATACTGCCAATGAAAATTTCATAAAAGGCACATGATCACTTTTAAATTTCTGATAGTTATGTTAAAAATGTTGTTAATTTGTTTTATCAAAGTAATGTAATGAAAACCCTGTTCTCCAACCAACTAATCAATATCAAGACTATACCTGGTATTTTGCGTTTTTTTTCCCATTAAGCTGCTGTGTATTTGGTGCCAGACACATTGATTCAGATGAGCCATTTCATAGTCAATTTTTCCCAGTAGCCTATAGGGCTAATAGCTATCTTGAAAAGACATGTTGGTTTTTAGTTTACCCTTTAAAAAGTGTGTTTTCGCTGGACATTGGTGTCTCATGCATATAATCCTAGCTACTCAGGAGGCTGAGATCCAATGATGTTGTTTCAAAGCCAGCCCAGGCAGGAAAGTCCATGAGACTCATCTCCAACAAACCACTCAAAAACCCAGAAGTGGCCCTGTAGCTCAAGTAGTAGAGTGCTTGCCTTGAGCTGAAGAGCTGAGGGACAGCATTCAGGCCCAGAGTTCAAGCCCTATGACCGACCCCCCCTCAAAACAAGTGATTCTAATTATTTATGTGGCATTACAATCCTATACGTAAATTTCTTACATTATAAAAAGTTATTTTATAATTATATTTTCATGTAAGTCTTAAGTTTTGGGTGGCTGTCTGATCATTTATATTAATAAACCACAATTAAATAATTTTAGGAAAAGTTTAGTGACATTATGACAGTCTTAATACTTTTATACTCTAAGACTTCTGCTGATGTGTCCATAGAGTAGAGTGTTCGTTTCTACACATAAGAATACTAAAAAAAATCCAAATTTACTTGGAAATATTTGCCTCTTTTCAGCCTTTGTATGGATCTAAAAGTCATCCCCTAAAATAACATTGTAGAATCTTACATAGACTATTGAGGATAGATAAGTACTAGGCAAGGTATATTAATTTCTCGTCTAGAGAGGCAGAGCAGTTTGGACAGAGTTAACTTTAGAGAAGGTATTGTCATTAGGGCATCAGGACGTGTATCTGTTTATGTTCTCTTTATTCCTTTCTTCTGCTTTTTTGAACTTGCAAGTGATGTTATAAAGTAAATAAAAGACAGAGGAAATGTAAACTACTGAGAAAATTAGCCAATTATTCTAGGCATTGTATGCGGAACATCGATTTGTAGAATTTTGAATATGACACTTTTTTGTTCTGGGGTACTTTTCTAGTGACATCTTAAATAGGAAAATTCAAACATAAATAGTTAGAGCTTCATGTCTATTGATTTTTGAGTTATTGCAAACTGTAAAGATTTTACTAGGAAACTTACATAAGAACAGTTTTTAAATGTGCTGTAGGGAAGTTAACTTGTATGACCATTCCTTGAATAATAATGCTTATTAAAACCGTATGTTATTATTTATTATGTTTATAAATGAAATATCAAGATATTTTGGAAATATGTATGAGCATTCTCTTTACTATAACAGCTTTTTCCAAGATGGATAAAGATGATGATTTTATAATTTTTCTTTCATAAATTTTAGAATATATTTTACAAATCTTTTGATTAAATAACATAAATAATATAGAGTATACATAAAATATTTATATAGCATTGATTCAAAATATCCTGTGATTTTTATAAAAATAAAAATAACAGCAATATGAGCTCTGAACTAAAATATTGATGTATTAGCACCTTGCATGAGTGTTCATTTTCTTTGTTATTTCATATTAGAGTGTAAGCATTTTCCTACGTCACTATATGTTTAGAAAGAGAATTGAATTGGCTATTTTCACTATAAATGGACTTGGGAAATTAAGAGGATTTTAGTTATAAAAGAAGAATTATAGCCTGGTAATATGGCATTGGCAGTATTCCCTTCAGACAATTGATGAGACCTCAGTATTTATGAATTTCTTAACCCCCCCACTATAGTCACATAAAGAAATGGAATTATCAGCAAAGTCCTTACTGCATGAAGCCAGACCTATCATTATCAGTATCATAGTCATTTGCCACTATGTAAGATCATAGTACTTGGAGCTCCCACATCCTCTTTTCATGTTTGAGCTATAAAAGGAAACAATGAATTGCACTCATAAAAGTTTTTTCTGGTTGAGTTGGCATCTTAATTGCTCTCTAGGATAAATGTTTATCAGCTACATGACTAGTGACTAGAAGAACACTTTTCCAGTTGTAGTTCCTTGTTTTATGGTCTTTGGTCTTTCTATCAAAAGTGTTAATGTTCCTTGTCTCTGTACAGATTTTATCTTCACTTGTTATAAATCTAACTGAGGAACCAACTTTTATCTTCAGTAGTATAAAACAAGGAAGGAAACAACTCTTACCATATATCCAAGTTTCTTCTTTCAAACAAAATTATTTTTTTTTTCCTCATATCACCTTGTCCCAATTTCTTTCATGCCTACACACTGCCATCCAGATGATGGTCTAAATTTCCCAGACATGAGCCCCATATTTTAAAAATGATTCTCTATTTACTGTTAATTCTCTAGTAGTTGTTCACACCTTTTCTGGCTTTCAGATGTGTGGAAGTTCCTTGTGCAAGCATTGTCACTGTCTGCTCCTGCATAATTAAATGTTACTGCCTCCAGTCCCTTGCCCGAATGCTCTCTGTCTTCTTTGAGCAGTTATTATGAGTTGACAATGAGTTCAGAAATTTATGATAGTTATACTTATTATTAATCTAATGAGTTTCTTGCATTCTTTTTTTTGGGGGGGGGGTCCGGTTGTGGGGCCTGAACTCTGGGCCTGAGCGCTGTCCCTCAGCTCTTCAGCTCAAGGCAAGCACTCTACCACTTGAGCCACAGAGCCACTTCCGGCTTTTTCTTTTTGCTTATGTGGTGCTGAGGAATGGAACCCAGGGACTCAGGAATTCAAGGCAAACGCTCTACCACTGAGCCACCTTCCCCACCCTAAGTTTCTTGCATCCTTAAGAGAATGGAATAAGGTAAAATAAAATAAAGTAAAATTTAAATGGAATACCTACAGCTCAGAAATCCTTCCCAGTGAGTCCAATAGGCCTGCCTATATTAAAACTGATGTGTATATAAGCCTACTAGTGGCTTAATGATTATCATTACTATCTCTTCTGGTGCTACTATGTAAATATGATGCCATATGTTCATCTATAATCTAGGTATATGTCACAAATCAGTAACTCTGGCCTTTGGATTGCTATAGAAAAATTAGTGTTTTAAATTGTGTAAACTACTCACTATCTCCAGTTCCTCAGTTTCTTCCTTCTAAACAAGTGCCACTCTCTGTTCACAATATCAACATTTTTTTAATCATTTTTATTTTTTAATGTTTTTTTGATTGTGAAAATACTGTACAGAGGGGTTACAGTTACATGAGCAAGGTGATGAGTACATTTCTTATCAAGCATTGTTGCCTCCTCCTTTGTTTTTCTCCTACCATCCTTCCCTCCTACTTCCACAACTACACTTCCCCTTCACCCCCACCTAAATTGTAAAGTTCGTTGTTCAACAGTGTCCTGTACATCTCATTGTTACAATGGATCAACCTGTATGCCTAACCCTCCTCCATGGTATAACTCCTGTTTTCATTGTATATGATGTTGATGTAATTTGGGGAGAAGAAGGGAAAAAACCAAATTGTTTAAATAGGGATACAGGTGAACCCATTGCACCAATGAGAAGTACAAGACACTATGTCGAACAACGAACTTTACAATTTAGGGGTGGGGGAAAGGGAGCGGGGAATGTAGTTATGGAGATGGGAGGGAAGGGATGGTATGCAAAAACAAAGGAGGAGGCAACAATCTTGATAAGAAATGTACTCATTACCTTGCTCATGTGATTGTAACCCCTCTGTACAGTATTTTCACAATCAAAAACATTTAAAAAAATTTTCCTTACCCTCCCCAAATTATACCGACAACAAATACAGTGAAAACAGCTCTCTTCTTTTTATTTTCATGTATATGTCTTAGTTAAAACCTGGTGTTCTTTCCATTGGCTACTTTAAGTATTTTAAAAGAAGAACAAAACATCTAACAATCTGCTTCTAACATCTTTCTAATTTCTTTCTAGTGTGATTTGCCCACATCCTGGCTTCTCATCATTTACTAAGTGGTACCTGGGCTCATCTGTGGTGCTTGTAAAACCCACCATGCTCTGGCTCTGCCTATTTATCCCACCTTGTCTTCATCTGTTTTCTATTCCCATAAACTATCAACACACCCTTTGTGTGTCATCCCTCATCACTCACCCATCTTAGTACAGAGTGTTCCCATTGTCACAGCCACCTGCTCCTATTTTAATATGTCACATTGCTTTTTGTGTATTTACTGAGTCTGTTCAGCACTGTACATGAGGTCCATTATTTATGCACTTTACAGATAATTTCATGTTGAACTACAACTATGGTGCTTTTGCTAGTCTTCAGTCTGTATACAACAGATGTAAGAAAGACATATATTATCTTTTTTGAAGCCTCTGTGCCTAGTTT